TTATAAGCTAAATGGGTTATTCTTTCTTGCATCAATTACTATTCTTATATCAATTTCAATTCCAGAAATACTTTAATTTACCTTTACTAGAAATAAATGGCTCATTAAAGGGTTAATATGTATCTATAAAATGTCCTGCTCAGCATTAATGAATTTAAAGGAGTAAAATGACAAAATTAATTAATTAAATTTTAATACACTTTTTTAAAAATTCGTTTCCGATTGATAAATCATTTTTCGTTATCTAATTTGTTGGTGTGAATGTAATAGTTAAATCATAGTCGTCCTAAGCAATGGAAATAATAATAAATAATTTAGATAAATTACAATATTAAAATACTACAACTTATTTTAAAATACTAGATCGGATAAAGTTTATGACTTAAAATTGACTTGTCCCCCCAGTCAAAAAGAAGTTGGCACGCCACTGATGAGTCCACTGGTCAGCACAGGACGACTGTTTGCGTCTCGGCTTGCTTGTGATTCTGACTGTCTCTGTGTGATATATATCGGAATTTCTTGATTCTAGTGAAAGGTAAGTTCTATTTTATTCGTTTTACTTTATTTTACTCAAATTTAAAAGAAGAAAAGAATTCCTTTATGCATATTTTTCGTAATGTAGCTCCGTTCAAACTGTGGACCTTTGACTAATTTTAGTGGCTATTCGCCCTTCCTATTAAAAATATAAAGAAATGTTATTTAAAATAATATTGAAACCAAAAGGCTCCTAAAACATTTAAGTAACTCTCTAAAAATGTTTCTGCAATTTTCTATATGTTTTTTTTTTCTCTTCAATTAACTGATGTCTTGAATGACACATTTTTGAAACCAAACTGTTCAGTTTTTCAATAGAAAGAAATTTGTGGATTTAGAGTTTTGATTTTTATTCTCAAAATTTAAATTTTTAATTGAAATTTTTAGTCGTTAAACTTTATTGTTTTTTTAATATTTTGTTTTGACTATATATATAATCGTACCTTCGAAGTAGTTTTAATTTCTAAAATGACATGGTTTGAATCAAAACTGTTTTCATAAGTAAAGTTTTTAAATTTCTTTACAAAAAGAATGATGAATATATTTTAACACTTTTTCAAAGTATCTTTGTTATTTCGAAATTCTCAAGCTGTCTTTATAAAATTTAACATAGTTTTCTTTTTTGGTAAAAAACATATTATCAAAGCAATTATTCAAACTAAACTAAATCTTTTCGAAGAAAAAAACAATCTTTTTAAAAGTATTCTATCCAAGTGATTTCATTATTTGTTTTTTGTATGTGAATTTGAACGGAAGCAAAGGCGCCAGTAATACTGAAATATAAATAAGGCAAGATGATAATTATAGTAAAATCAAAAACGCGGAAATTATTTTTATTTGTGGATTATACGCAGATGAGTTTCTGTTATCACCCCTGAAATAACCCACAAAATATCGACGATTTTTTTTAACCCTTTAAAATTTATATGTGTAAGAGCCGACAATGATTAGAAAACCCAAAAATTTTGACTCGTAAAATAAAAAAAATATTGAGAAAGTGCGATTTTATTTAGTTTCAATGCTTTAGATTAGATAGTATTCAAGATTTTTGCAATAACTCGTACAAATTTATTTTTAAAATGCAGATTAGATTTGTAACATTTTGTGGTGAAGGAAATGTCTAAATGGTATGATAATGTTAAGAGTTATTATTAGTATGAACAATTTTCAGGCGATTTTCTTAGGTTTTTTTTTAGATTTTTCTATACAAGAATTTTACAAATTTGTAAAATTCTTCGAATCGCTCTAAAGTTGTTATATTTGTCTTAATGTTATAAGTAATTTCCTTGAATATAAGGCAAATGTTGATATTTGCCTTGATGCATCTTAGTAATTTTATAATTCTAACGAGCTATATAAATTAAGAAGTTTTCCTTTTTTCAGAAAATTATGGATATACGAAAGTTCTTTACCCCGCAAAACGAAAGACCAGCAAAAAGGGTTAGATTAGAAGAAAACAATCCCCCTCAAGAAATTTCGGCTGACATAGATGCTCTACCCAAAGCTCAAACAACTGATTTGATTCAACAACCGTCCACATCAGGAAGTGTGTCCACGCCGGAGAATATTACAGAGAAATTTGACTTGGGACAATACATAGATAAATCAATAGTATCAGATAGCGAAAGATATGATTTACTAACGAACCAACAAGTGAAATGTTTGGATTATGATTTTAAGAAAGACGTTCCTGAAACTAAGAAGCATAAACGATATTTTCAGAAAAGTTGGCTAACTGTTTATTCATGGTTAGTTTATTCTCCTGAACTCAAAGGTGGGTTATGCAAACATTGCGTTCTTTTCAAAAAAAGTTTGAAAAGAGGATTGTTTGGTGCGTTTATAACCAAAGCACAAAAGGATTACAAACATTTTCACGAGGACGCTAGAGCCCACTCAAAATGTCAGTGGCATATTAATGCTGTAACCGATTCGAAAAACTTTTGTGATGCTGCAGAAATGAAGTCCAAAACTGTATTAGAACAGTTAGATTCTGCTGCATCACAACTAATCCAGGCTAATAGATTAAAACTAGAATCTATTTTAAAAACAATAGTGTTTTGCGGATCCCATAACATACCTTTTCGTGGAAAACTCTCTCATGAAGGAAACTTTGAAGATCTTCTACGTTTTCGTATCGATGCCGGGGATAAGACTCTTGAAAATCACCTCAAATCTCATTCCGGGAAAGCAAAATATACTTCTCACAGAATACAAAATGAATTGATTAGTATTTGTGGTTCAATTATACAAGATCAGATACTGCAGGAGATAAAAAGTTGTCAAGCATTTTCTTTGTTAGTTGATGAAACTGCCGATATCAGCGGTAAAGAGCAGTTGTCTTTGGGGATCAGATACGTGACAGAAAATGAAATTGGCTTTACTGTAAAAGAAGAATTCATGGGTTTTACGGAGCTGGAAAAACTCGATGCGGAAAGTATAACCAACACCATTTTGCTATTTTGTGAGAAATTAGGGCTGGACATGTCCAAGTTAATTGGATNCGATTCGAAAAACTTTTGTGATGCTGCAGAAATGAAGTCCAAAACTGTATTAGAACAGTTAGATTCTGCTGCATCACAACTAATCCAGGCTAATAGATTAAAACTAGAATCTATTTTAAAAACAATAGTGTTTTGCGGATCCCATAACATACCTTTTCGTGGAAAACTCTCTCATGAAGGAAACTTTGAAGATCTTCTACGTTTTCGTATCGATGCCGGGGATAAGACTCTTGAAAATCACCTCAAATCTCATTCCGGGAAAGCAAAATATACTTCTCACAGAATACAAAATGAATTGATTAGTATTTGTGGTTCAATTATACAAGATCAGATACTGCAGGAGATAAAAAGTTGTCAAGCATTTTCTTTGTTAGTTGATGAAACTGCCGATATCAGCGGTAAAGAGCAGTTGTCTTTGGGGATCAGATACGTGACAGAAAATGAAATTGGCTTTACTGTAAAAGAAGAATTCATGGGTTTTACGGAGCTGGAAAAACTCGATGCGGAAAGTATAACCAACACCATTTTGCTATTTTGTGAGAAATTAGGGCTGGACATGTCCAAGTTAATTGGATTAGGGTTTGATGGCTGCGCCACAATGGCCGGAAAGGATACTGGCGTGCAACAAAGGATACGACAGAAATATCCTAAAGCTATATTCTTTCACTGTGCTTCTCACAGACTAAATTTAGTTGTCAATGACTTGAGTAACCTCGCCGAGGTACGAAACACCATAGGTACAATAAAAACGGTCATTAAATTTTTTAGGGAAAGTGTTATACGGAGGAAAAAAGCACCGAATATTCCAATATTGTGTGAGACAAGATGGACTGAAAAATACAAATGTATTAAACAATTCTCCAAACATTTTTTAATCTTAAAAGAATCTTTAAGCTCTTTAAGTTTTGATGAAAAAGTCAATCAAGAAACAAGATCCCAAGCTCATCAGTTAGACTTAGCAACTTCTTCCGTAGTTTTCGTAATATGCTTAACAATTATTTCTAGATATTCATCATATTTGGAACCAGTAGTCAATAAAATGCAATCAGTTGATTGTGACCTTTATGCAGTACATAGGTACATAAAAAATGATTTGCTGGAAGTTTTTAAAAAACATAGGGCTGAAGCAGACGAGGAATTTGATAAAATTTTTGAAGATGCAGAAAAAACATGTAATGAAATTGATGTGGAAATCAAAATGCCCAGAATAAATAAAAAGCAAATTCACAGGTCAAATATTCCAGCAACTACACCGTTGGAATATTATAGAAAATCTCTTTTCATTCCTTATTTGGATTCTCTTATAATATCCCTTGAAACTAGGTATGAAATTTCGAAATTTGTACTATGCTGTTCAATTGAAATATTATTTTAACTAATCAAGCGGTATTTAATGTTTATATTTATTTTATTTCTAAGTCATTGATAAATGTTGTAAATTTTGGTCTTGATTCCCTGTGAAACACTCGTTTTATACCCCCGATTAAAGATTATATCACTAATAATGTTGTTAAATTATAACTCTTTGATAAGTTTTTACATTATCCATTTAGTGTATTTAAAAAGTTACCACCAATGTGTTGTTGTAATTAATAATGAAACATATGCATATTTGATTAATCATGTATAATTAAAAGCAAAATTAATTAATTATTCAGCGAATTAAATTAAAAATATTTAAATAGATAAAATTTCCTTTCATTAATTTTTTAATTCATTAAGTTATTTGTCGTTTTCTTTCATGAGCCCCCCCCTAAATTCAAACATATGGGCGCCCCTGAATGAGGGTAAAATATTCCTACCAGATCTAGTATTAAAACTAGTTTATTGTTTCTCGTTGTTATTTCCTCGATAATAAATCCTGTCTATCAGAGATTATCATATACCATCGCATGTCATCTTGTAACCTTCATCACATTGGTATAAAATAAGTAGAATTTTATGGGTTTCCTTTGGCGTAAATTGAATTGTTTGCTCATGAAAATGCACTGTTCTGTTATTGCATATGGAAAACAATTCAGATACCTGAGCAAAGTCATATATAATCTGCATAGATCTTTCCCTTTTGTTTCATTAAATTCCTTCTACAATTTTCAGTATGTATCTGACTTGTTAAGTCCATTATACTTGGCTTTCTGTATACCGTATAATAATAATCTGAATCAAAATATTTTTGTTTTATTTGATGGACTATATCCTTAATAGCTTCGTTTAAATTTTTTTTCCTTGATAGACAATATCAATAGAACTCTTTTGGTGTTAAGATTGTTGTTTTTATCATCAATTAACATAAATAACGCACATCGCATGTTGTTTTTGTCACCAGTTTTCAAATTCATCATATCCAATTTTATAAGTTCTATAACTAATTTGTTTTTCATTTAGTTTACGTAAAATAAAACTATAATATTTAGTCTAATTAAAGTCTAATTAATATCTAGTTAGTCTATTTAATATCTAGTTAGTCTTTAGTCTAATTAATATCTATTCTAATTAAAAAGTTAATTTCCCTTCTAACTAAAAGTTAATTTCAGTAAAATTTTTAGAGTTTTAAAATTTATGTAAAAAAGACAAGTTATTTTCTAAAAAATAATTTCGGTAAGCTAAAAATATGCAAAAAGGAAGAAGTATGCATCAAAGATCATGCATCAGTATGATAGAAGTATGCATCAAAGAAAAAAAATTGATAATTTCTTTTAAGATTTCGACTGAAAGAGAAAAAAGAAGTCCCTGGGCAAACTAAAAATTAGGAGCCATCGTCGATTTTATAGCTAATACATTTAGTGTAAATTTCTGTTTTAATAATTAGTTTTCTGGATCGCTCGAAATGAAAATCCTCGCCTTAAGTTCCGATTGTTCATGCGATTTCCTGACAATTTTGAGGAATCTTAATTAAGAGAATATAAATTGTAACAATAGTTCATTTCGAAGAAGCAAACAAAAATTCATAGCCGACATTTACACCCAATTCTTAAAAAAAAGTTTAAAACATTGTTCAGTTATATTATCGCATCGCATTTTTTACTAAAAGTGATAAAAACAAAGATAACAGAATTTTTACATTCTAATTGGTCAGTTAAATGTTAAAATTTACGGAATATATACAGAAGCGGCTAAAACGCACCAAACACAAATTATTATTTCGTTCAAGAATAAACGTTATTAAAGAGCTCTTTCGCGTAATATCTCGCACGCCCTTTTAATTTGTGATTCTGTGCAGTGTACTTCAAATAATCTCGATTCGCGTTATTT